CAAAAGCTGATGAAGCACTGAAGGCCAAAGAGAGAAATGAGGAAGAAGCAAAGAGAAGAAAAGAGGAAGGTAAATTAATAGGTTCAGGTTCCCGCCACCTCACCCTTAAGCAATCACTATTTGGCATGATTCTCTCTGTTCTTTAGATAACCATAGAATATAATCTGATGATTTAGAGGATACCTCATATCATTTCATGAACCTGAATTGTGATACTGTGTCCCTTGTATATATCTTAGCAGAAGATTAGTTTGTAAGCATCCCATAATAGAAATTGGGAAGAATAGTAGAGCTGATGGTTTGTTTGTCCTTCTGACTTTTGTCTTGATTGATAATAAATTATCAAAATTACTTATAGAAATTGATTGAATTTATTCATACATTTAAAGATATTTTAGCAGTGGTAGAGTCCTCTTGCCAACAAAAATTTTTTAGCTTTTAACTGATAACAGTAAAAACTGAAATGTCATAAATAGTTGTAATTCAAATTAAGAAATTTGTGCCTTAATGTTTATGGATTAACTATTCTTTTTAAAAACAGCTAGGTCAGGGACTGGGGATATAGCTCATTGGTTCCAGCGCCTGCCTTGCAAGTGCAAGGTCCTGAGTTCGATCCCCAGTTCACACACAAAAAAGCAGCTAAGTCACTGCCTAAATATTATGCAAACAAATCTTACACATTTTAAATTCCTCTACCAGATTTTTATTTCCCCTTTAGTTTGCTATATGTGATTTATGTAAGTGAAAAATTTGCTCTCTTTTCTTCGTGGAGAGTTTATATATACTGTTATAAATTTAAGTGCAAGATCCAGGCAAATGTTTCTCAGGAAGCTAAGGTGATGATCTACTTGACCTGGCAATCATACCACTTGAGCAGAGCAATTGTTTATCCTCATGAGGTTTTGAGAAGTGAAAAGCTGATAATGTATGCAAAATTTTTGGCTTTGAGTGCTATTGTCTTAATCTGAAAGTTGAAATTTTTACCTTAGTACATACAAATCTTTCACTAGATAACTCAGCCTCTAACTAGAAGCTGATATCCAGTAGAATTTAAATGTTTAGGCATGATAGTTTAGAATGCTAGAAGCAGCATCCCACCAAATCCAAATCCCTAAAGCCCGTCCAAGGAGGAAAAGAAAAGCAAAACCTGTAGCTTTAGGGGTAGATCCATACATACAAATAAGTATGTTCACACTAAGTGTGAATGGATTTATATATATGAGTGTGTACTCTTCTGATCTTATTTGACTCCAAGAAATCCTGGCTTTATGGTCAATCCTGACTTTATGATTCATCCAGGATCAACTAAATTCATAATATACCGAGAAAACAAATTCCAGTGATAAGAATCTTCAGTAATATTCTTTTTTGATCTTATAAAATATACATCTTGGCACTTTTGGTGGAAGCAATCTATCATATTTCAGCTGTACATATCATATGGCCTCAGTACAAATAGATATGGTACTAGATACAAAACAATCTAAATAAATTTAACTCCTGCTATGTTGTATCGCATTCTAATCAATGTAACTAATAACATAATGACCCTTATGAAACATTGTGGTACGAAAAATCACAAGAGTAGGATTTACTACCAATCATGAAAATGTTGCAGTATTTACTAGCCTAATCCTATTAATTCAAATCTTAAAGTCCTAATTAATTGAAAAAGAATGACACTGATAATAACCACAGATTTTTAAATTGCTAAGTGTCTTATTATTATGAAAACATATAATATGAACTAGTATTCATAATGTCTTCAGACTTGAATTTCTTGAAGTACTACATGAATGAATGAATAAATGAATAGCTAGCTTCTCTTCAACCTTAAATATATGCTTAAGTGGCTTATTTTGAGCGTGCAGTGAATTCTAAATAATCTAGTTGAAAGTGTAAGCAAACTTTGTTATGTCCTTCTCTAAGACAGGACATCACTCTTGAAGCAGTTGTTCTCAAGGATTGCAACCATGCAAAATGAAACAAAGGAATGTAAAAATACTATCAATGTTTGTTAATGTGGTTTTATCTTTATCTGAGTCCACTGAATTTTCAGTGCATCAGAAAATAAAATCATGTACACAAACGTAGAAGAAAAATTCTGTTGATTAAATAACCTATAGAAACTAATTACAAAAGATTTAAAAGGTATGTTTTTCATACATGACATTTCTTTTGCTTATTTTTTGTAGAAAAACCATTCACTTGATTATTTGTTTTTGTTTGCACCCTAAAATTTTTTCTGGTGGCTTGTCTAAGTATTTGAATGCTATCAAATTAACCTTTCTCTGGAATTCATCAATGTATGACCGACATTCATATTATTTCACATAATTAATCTAGCTGCAAATTGAAATTCAACATGCATCAGTATATGTATGTGTATGTACTGTACTATATCTGAAATAATAATCTTTATTTCCAGTCTTTAAGCCACTAGTAATTTGCTCAGTCACATCATTTATAGAATTCATCTCTAACTCTCCATATACTAATATATAGCACAGGGTTGAAAGCATTAAAGCATATATAATTGTCTGTCTGCCGCCTTTATCCACTCTGTTATCTCAAAAAAGCTATTGTATTAACATAGCAAAATCTATGCCTTACAAATTCATTTGATTATATAATCCTTGCATTCAATTGTTCTTAAATCAATATCATAATTATGTTTGCAAGTGTTGTATAAAAGTCTACATACCAAAACTTGTCCAAGGGTCCTTTGTACAGGGAGCTATATAGTTTTATGGTCCTTATATGTAGCTCAGTTGATTTTCCACTTATTGAAGTAGCAACAAGTAAATTGGTGATGGACCCTTTTTCTCCAATGATTTACTAACTCTTTTCACTTGTGAGAAGTACAAAAGAAATATCTGTTAGTAAAAGTTAATTGAAGACTCCCTTTACTCTGTACAATGGGAAAAAATTAGCTTTCATTTCCTGTACAAATAATAAAAGAGGCTGTCCGTCCCACTGCTCCCGGCCCAGAGGAAGGGGCTTCTGGGCCACCATCCATCCCAGCACTCCCGGCCCAGAGGAAGGGGCTTCTGGCCCCCCGTCCATCCCACCGCTCCCAGCCCAGAGGAAGGGGCTTCTGAGCCACTGTCCCACCACTCTCAGCTCACAGGAGGTGAGCTGCATGGGCACCAACAACAACCCCCACTCCCCCCCAGTCAAAATGAGAAGACACGTAAATAAGTCTCGCAACCAGACTTCCAGATCACCTACAGCAACCCCAAAGGAAAATGAGATGGAACACTCTGATACTCAAATACCTGGACCCCCTGAACTGGGAAAAAAAGAGGATCTGGAAAAAATGAAATCAGAAATAATTTCTCACATAACAGCAGAGATTGTGCTCGTAGTGCAAGATATGATTAATAAATCTAGAGAGGAGCTGAGGAACATGATGGAATCCCAACATAGGAAACAAATGGAATCCATAAAACAGATGCAAATAGATTTCGA